AGAATGAGTTTTTCACTACCGACGTTGTCATTTAGGGCGGGTATCAAGCCCGGTCCGGCGTTTCAAGTGCCATATTAACAATATTTCCTTGATCTTACATTGAAAATGACATTGCCCCGCTTGCTAGGATCTCAAAATGGTTCCATTTAATATTGTGACCGGTAGAAGAAATGATCAGCAACAGCAAAAAAAAGCGTGACCAGCTTGAGTAAGAGCTTTGAAGTGCTCCGTCTTTCTGTCCTGCAATCTTCTTTTTGTTTTACCAATGTAGAATGCATCACAGTCCCAGCAACTGGCTTTATAGACAACCTTTGAGCGGTTGAAAAGATCTTTGTAAGAAAAGAAAGACTTTGTTCTGCAATATTCTGAAAAATAACCCTGAGGTTGACGAAACCATAAAACTTATTGACACAAGATTTTAATCGGCGTGTAATAGCATCGCTATGGAAACCTTAAGTAAGGTAAAACAAGGATTACATCTTTGTTGGGAACTGTGAGAGTAGGTTCTGAAGGCCTGTCTTTATGTTTGTTCGATACATCATAAACGTTATAGTTAACAATGCCTCTAGGATAACCATTTTGAAGCAAGGAATTCTTCAGAGCAGATAGAGTCGACTGCAATAAAGTGGATTTTGAACAGATGCGTAAGCAACGAGAGGTAAGTGTTCGGATTAGATTGATCTTATACGTTTTGGGAGTAAAGGGGTCCCGCTTGGTGTAAAGAAGAGTGAAAGAGAGAAACGTCAAGTTTAATATACCATGCGTAATCTATTTCTTATGTTTGTTACCGCTGTTTATTTTCTCTTTCTCCTGAAACTAATATCCTACCAACACGGCGGTCAAACGTCGGGCATGCACAAATGAGAACATTTTTTGGCAGCCGCGCGCCAATTTCCCGCGCAAAAATTTAAAGGAAAACATCGGAAACAACCAGTGTCACGCAAATTTACGAAAAAAAAATTGAAAGTTCATAGAAATCTGTAAAAGGAAAAGAAAGTAGGTAAAAGGAAAACTTAAGACTTTTCAGACACAAAGTTTTTTAAGTTACCGGTATTCTGTTGATTTACCATTTTGTTTTGAGCTTTACCAAAAAAGTTTATAAGTCTTGAAAACCCTTGTCATGCTACGAGCCGACGGCGTAGTATGATTTCATTTGTTTTTATTAATCATACGACGCGTGACGCCGGAAACGGACGACAAACGGTGTGTAAAAGGAGGAAAATGAGAGAAGGAAAAGACAATTGCAGTGATTCGGCTTCGCTCAGACGAGCTGGAAAAATTTTGGCAAGGACCATGGGGATTCCACCCGGATCCTGGATTTGTCTGAAGCACAGGAACGAGATGAATCGAAACGACAAACGATGTTCATGTCCATCGTCATGGGGGCATAGCTGGCCAAAATACCGATCCCAAACCGCCTGTACCTGGTCTTTGACCTGGTGGGAAAATCTTTTCTTAACTACAAACCTGGGAAAAACCGATGTACTAAATGCAAAGTCGAGGCGGACAAAAAATTCAAGGAGCACGGAAAATACATAGCACGGAAAAGGAAGACCTGCAACAAGCAAAAGGTAGACCAATTTTTAACTCTAATTTCTGTTAGCTCTCGTTGAACAGGCTAAAACATAAACAAATATATAAATAACGCGGAAAATGTCATTTATGGATGCCGATGACCCACGAAAAGAACAATGTCATGAAAATATTTTGGCCGCCTTTTAGTTGCTCCATTGC